CCTGCGAGCTATTTCGGTTCGTTGGCATTTTTGCGCGCTTTGTTACCGGCCACGCACATATGGTAGAAAACTTTTTTGTGACTCACGATGTCCACTCCATGTGAAGACAAATGACCAACATAAGTGATGACTTAACCGAATGATTCGTTCAGGCATTTACCGTCTCGTTATAAGGGTATTTGCCGACGTGACCGTTGAGCTACCGGACGAAGAAAGGGTCCTTCGTGAGCCACAGCTGCTGGTACCAGCCGAGAGGTCACGCAAAAACGACATTCTTCGCATAAAAGACACTTGATGGTCTCTGTTTATGCTTGGAAGCCGTCAGTCGTTCGATTCATGATCGGCATTTGCCACGCAGACACGAAAGAAGCCGTCGTTCATTGTCACTGCCATCCAGGAACACGTATAAAAGGGCTGGCTGAACCACGGCCATGAAAGCGTTGTTTCGGGAACAGTCGAAACTTCGTTGCCGTTGTCACCCTAAGTTCCTGACTGTACGTCAACATGCGACCAGCCGTATTCATCTCCCTATGCGCAGCGTGCCTTGTTTGTTGCCACGTCGGTGCTGCCTTCGGTAAGTCCCTGCTCGACGAACGACGTCTAATTCACACCTTGCATCGATCATGTGTTCTGCCCTTAGAAAAAGACCGCAAGAATGGAACCATATTGTGGCGAGCGGTCGTCGGAGAAGCATGCCAACTCGGTCGCTTACCTCGACCTTATGCTAACCAGTCAAGATACGTCGCATGTGAGCAACCGCAAGAAGGCTCAGGGTCTTGGTCCTGGTACGTCAATGGCGCTTCTTATATTAAACGCTTTGGGAAGCGTCATAATAGGCCTTACATATTCCATACCGGGGGCAACTTTTCCTGTGGAATTCATAGCCACTATTTTATGCTAAAAGTTTTTCCTCGTATATTCTTGAGGAATAATATGTTCATGAGATGAGCGGAATCATGTTTTCGTGACAGTATATAAAAGCCATCCTATTCATAACGCGGCTGCTGCTGTTTCGGTTAGATAAGTCACTTGACCTACATTAATTCACTAAAGTGCTTCAATGATTTTTAGTTTATCTATCTCAGTTTAAAAGCTTGAATGGTAGAATAGTTTTCTTTATTTGTAGAATTTTATTTTTTTTATTAACGCCGTGTAGGCACGGTATTAGCCTGTGCATAGCCAAACTTCGGTGTCCCTGTAACAGAAAGTAGCAAATGCAACAGAAGTGGGACAGCATGATGGAGCGCCAAAGAATGAATGGCGACACAGTGGTCAAATGAGACTTTGTGTACTCATGTTAACAGAGCTTCTAATGAGCATTTTAAGGCTGACTTGTTTATGAAGGGATTTCCCAGTTATGAACCCCAAATGAACTATAGGAAACCACAATCGGCAGTCATTTTCAAAGAAAGCATGATGATCCTTCTTTCACGGCGTCGATCCTTAATCAAAGAACGAAGAATTATTAATGATTAATGTAAAATAATGCCTGAGAATTATTTCAAAAAAATGAATAAAAATTTCGCTACTTGGATAATCAAGGTTCATACTTTGAAAATCTCAGAGTAGAAAATTGCCAAAATTTGTATTTATGTGTGCTCATTCTCCGTTCTGTAATGCGAACCTTGCTGGGAGTATAAAACAGCCAGTTCATGCAAGCAGTCACGAAGACGCTAGACATAGGCTGTGGGAGAGTTTGGCAAAATGTCCAGCGACCTCAGGATTGCCAACATATTGACTCTGACGCAGAAGCCGTTTCGTTTTAAAACTTTTATTTCTCACGAGAAATTACTCACAGGAAAGACAAAGGAATATGGATTATAAAGGAGTGTCCCTCAGGTATGGAGTACGACGAGGTAGCCATGACCTGTGTGCCGAAGTCGCAGTTACAGATCCGGCAGCGTTCGTACTCTCGCTCGAAGGTAAATCGTCGACCTCGTAGCTTCCTCCGCTCACCTGCACGTTTCAGCTGTCGCTCATGATCAGTCCCAACGTATTCTGTCCTTGCTCCGGCATGGTTTGCATCTGCAGCCAACCTCAGGTCGTTCAACCGATCATGTCCTCGACCGCGTGTTACGGAATCTCGTGCACGTTCCAGCAGCAGATGCAAATGCAGACGTTCCCCATTTACCAGCCAATGTCATGCGTGAACGGTAAGAGGACATCGAGCGCTCGGCAAATGGCAACAAACAACCGTCCCCTGTCGATTTAGTACCGATGATGACGTACAACGTGCGGATTGGGCAGATTTGCAATTGGATCGGGGCACCGCTGGTTCCGTGCTACAACAACCCCAGCTGCTACATGCAATGCATGCCATCGTCGTCCTCCTGCGGCACGTGGATGCCGACGCAGTGCCCGTACAACATGGTGTTCAACATCGTCACTCAGCTGTGCGTCTATCAAACTACGAGTGAGCACTTAGAAAAGCCTCGTTGAGTTAGAAATTTTTTTTAAACTAACCGTTTCACGCATAGCCATATCCGGATATTCGTCCGGTCCGTACGGCTACCAGAACCCGTACATATTCCGACGTTCGATGTCTGTGAACAAAGACCTGTCGAAGTCAACGGCCGACGACCAGAACACGATTGTCACGTGCATGGCGGATGATGTCTACGGTCCGTGTAACGCCAACCGTGAGTGCCCTGGCTTCGCCACCTGCGTATGGGTTCCCTCGAACGCCACGACGGCAAAGGATTCACGAACGGTCAGTTGAGTCTGACCACTTATTCTCTCTAAACTCTGTTTCATAGATAACTGGTCTCAGCGGCAGTCAGAAACATCAAGTTTTGGCGGAAGTTCAGAACCAGTCGTTGGGACAGTTCGTTTGCTGCCACACGTCGAATCCGTCTTATTGGTAGAGCTTAGATTCTACTGGCCAATTTTTTTTTAATTATTCGATATTTTAGTCCGTATATTTGTATTTTTATACTGTATTCAGAGCTAGAATAAAACATTATGAAAGTATTTACGCGTATGCATACACGAATAGTAAAACAGCAAAGTGTAAATCAATCGATCGCTGACCACAAGGCATAATTATGCAACCAGCCCAGTATCTGAATTATTGCAGCCATTATTATTTTGCTCATTCTTCCACTTCAAGAAGCATTCCAACAAATTCGATTCTCCGGTAAAGCTTCGGTGGCAGAATTAGAAAGTGGAACAGTCGGATTTTCAGTGCAGTCGATACATGATCATCAGT